TTATCCTATCATTGACATCATTGTACTTGAGGCTAGATCTTGAAATGTTCTTTTTCATGTTTTTGATGGTGAATGTGATTCTGTTTCTCTTCCCATTTCAGCATGGTGTTCTCTATGATAATCTTATTATAAATGTTCAACATTCCATTTCATTTTTTATAACTTCTCATATCCTTTACTTGTATTTTATGTATTGAATTATCCAATTATTAATGAATGTTTGCAATTGTTTCTTCTAATTTTGAGTTATGCCAAAATGTAGGTCCAATAACCTTTGTTCCATTCATGTCATTAAGATGTACTCTACTTTGAAGAGACGGCTCTTCCCTCGTCATATTTTTAATATCTTCTACCTTGAGGGGCTCATTTCCGGGCACTATATCAGATAAACTCTCTGAACTTAGAGAAACGATGATAGTTTTAGAAAAGGTGCAAGTCTTTTGTTCATAGGTTGCAATGAGTCGTGCTCGACTCGGCAGCAATTAACAACAACAATATCAGATAAAAATGCTTAAGAGCAAGGATGCTATTTAAACAACTAAGGCATATCTAATTCAAGTCATCGTCTTTCTAGTTGCTTCTAACGCATCTGAAAGTCACACAATAAATAAGGATGGCCGAAGAAGAATCAATGTCTTTGAGGTGTGGTGTGGGGGATGAGTAGTGAATATCCCATGGGCTACCAAAAGAACCAACACATCTGTCTTGGAAGAAAAATAATCAAAATGCACCTTACAGGCAAGGATGGTGAAAACGCATCTCACTAACGGTGGGCACGTTGTCCGGAAAGGCCAATCCTTGGAAAAAGACTTCATGCTGTGAAAGGCAGAGGGTGAGAAAAAGAGAGGAAGACCCTCCACAAAAGAGAGTGGCACAATAACTGTAGCAATGAACTTGGGCATATCAGAGATGGTGAGGATGGCACAGCACAGGGCAGGGTTTATACCTGCTGTTCGTAGAGTCACTGTGAGTTGTAGTCAACTTGACAGCCTGTAACAAAACAACGTAATAGATAGTGTTTTACTTCTATGCATGAGGTTTTCACTGGTCCATCTTTTCAGGGGTAAATTATCAAGTCCTTCTTACTAGTCTGTCTTAGTCAGGAAAATCACCAAAACCTGTGTACCATATGCGACCCTGCTGGTATTTTGAATACTAATGGCTTCCAGTATCATAGCAACAGGCAAGTCAACACAGCTTAACAAACTGATAGATAAGTGATGAAAAAAACTGCGGAACTAAGAGTATGCACCAGGGCCCATGTCAGAAAAGTGTGCAAAGACATTTTGTCACTCAGGAGGTTTGCAAGGGAAATATAAGGCTTTCATCTCTACCACACACATCCTCCTCCCTTGACTTCTGTCCTGGCACTAATCAGACTTTTCCCCTTTGGCTAGTCAGTTGCAGGGCTGGGACTTACTATGATGGAACACGAGAACGCTGCATTTTATGTCCAAATGGAACCTTCCAAAATGAGGAAGGACAAATCACATGTGAACCGTGTCCAAGACCAGAAAATCCTGGGGTCCTGCAGACCCCAGAAGCTTGGAATGTATCTGAATGTGGAGGTAAGGATTTTTTTTGTCCCTTCCAGTCTTCAGTATCACTGTTTACAGAGAAGTTATACGTAACATTTCAAAGACTGCACCTGACACTGGACGATAAGCTTCCTTGGACCAGGGACCAAACTGGATTTATTTTTTGCCCTTTGATGCCTAGCTCTGCATCTGGCACATGTTTAAGCCAATAAACAAAGATCTAATAGATTAAACTAGTTTGGGAGGAAAAGTGAAATGGCCATTGCATGCTTTATTCACTGTAAAATATAACATTCTGAGACCTGAGTGATCTTTTAATGTGTGGGAAGTCTTTGACTATTTTTTTATACTGGTCTATTTACAAAGTTAACATATATTGTTTTTCACACCAGATCTTTCCCATTTCTTTCACCGCCCTCCCCCATCAAAATGTGCAACCATATGATTAACCCCCTCCCCATTCTCACCCTTCTGCTCGCCCCCCCCGCCCCGCCCATCACTTGGATCTTCATTCTCGTTCTACAATAATGGTCTTATACAGTATCTGTCCTTACGGGACTGAGTTACTTCACTCAGCATAATGAGTCTCTCCCAGGTTAGGTAGTAATTTACAAAATCATTGTATCATGCATGTTGTGTAGTATTCCCTTGTGTGAATGTACCATAATTCCTCAGTCCATTCCATTGTGGTTGGACATTTCAGCTGTTTTCATGTTCTTGTGATGGTCAATATTGACTTTGTATTAAGATGAGGAAAGTAGGTCTGATTTTCTGTAAACTTTGATTTCAAATTCTTAACTTGCTCATTTAAAAAATCCCTCTCTGATTATTTTGTCAAAATTGGAGCCTCCTTTGTGAAGTTTCTCATTATCTCTTATAAAATATTAACTCCAAAGCCAGTCTTTGGATTTGTTTCTTATTTGTTTTATTATTGTCTTCCTTTTAAATGCTAGAAAGACCAGGTGCATCGACATTCTGTGGGCCCAAATGGAAAGAGTAATCTGATCTGGGAATTTGTGCTTGATGTATATGGCAGAGTGCACAGAAGCCCCTCCATTCCCACCCTTCTCCTTCAAGACTGCCCAGGCCCAGCTTTAGTTCTGTTAATGTAGCTTAAACTCAACTGCAGAACTGTTTCTGGTTTATAAATTCCGATTCTCATAGTAAATGTGAGACTCCTATAATATCTTAATCTTGTTGTGAAATCCTAGAACTAACTGCAAGTTGCTAAGAGGGAAAGCTATCATCTATTTACCCTTGTATAAGAGAGAAAGCTATCATCTGTTTACCCTTGTATATGTCCCTGTTAAGATGTAATTGTTATTGTGTTGTGTACTGTCAATTCAGAGCTGACCCACAGCTGACCCTCCATCAGGTTTTCAGTCAGTTAATTACACGAGGAGATTACCCATCTTTCTTCCATGAAGCAGCTGGTAGATTTGAACTACATGCCTTTGGGATTGCAGCACAGTATCTTCCCACTAGATCATCTATAGTCAATAGTATTGTTGTGGTTGTTGCCTGTGACTCATAGCAACCCTATGTATAAATAGCTCTGAAGCCTGCCCTATCCTAAGTCAGTCTCACTCACTCTGACACACCTCCTCCATTACCCCAGTTACAGTGTCAGTCCATCTCATCCAGGGTATTCCTCTCCTATGCTGTCCCTTTACACTTCCAAGCATGATGCCTTTCCCCATGGACTAGTCCCTCCTGTCCACGAGCCTGCCAAAAGTATGTGAGATAGAGCTTCAAAATCCTTGCCTCCAAGGAGAAATCTGGTTTCACTCTCTCCAAGATAGACTTGTTTTTCTCTTGGCGGTCCATGGTATGTTCAATACTCTACTCCAGCATCACAACTCAAAGTATCGATTTTTCTTCACAGAAAGAAAAATCCTTAGTCATTTTCCAGCTTTCTAATGCATAGCAGCAAGTAATTGTGAAGACCATGGCCTGTATCAGGCACACCTTAGTCTCTATACTGATATTATTACTCTTTAGTACTTTGAAGAGGTCTCTGATAGCAGGCTTCCCCAGAGCAGTTCATCTTTTGATTTCCTGACTGCTGGTGCCAAGAGTGTTGATTGGAGAGCCAAGCAAACGGAAATTGTTAACAATTTCAGTATTTTCTCCATATATTATGGTGCTGCCAATCGGTGCAATTGTGGGAATCTTTGTCTTCTTGATATTTAGCTTAAATCCATATTGAAGACCATATTCCTTGACTTTCTGCAGCAAGTGCTTCAGGTCCTCCTCAGTTTCAGCAAGCACAGTTGTGTTATCCATATAACATGGCTTGCTGATAAGTCTTCCTCCAATCCTGATGCCACATTCCTCCTCATAAAGTCTGTTCCATATATAGATTGAAAAGGTATGGATACAGGATATATACTGATGCACTCTTTTCCTGATTTTGAACCATGCAATAATTAGTAATAATAATGATTGCTAATATTTAATGAATAATTGCCTATGCCAATCATCATGCTAAGTCTATTACATGAATTATTCATTTAATTACTACAACAACTTTATGAGGTTAAATGACTTATTGAAAGTTACACAGCTTAAAGGTGAAGGATTTGGAAACAGAACCCAGAGCTGACAGGCTCCAATGCCTTCATTGAGTGTGTGTTTTTTTTAAGTGCCATTGTATCTATAATTTAGGGATAAACCCATTAAAATAACGGAGAGATTATTAGGCATTCAAAAGACAACTGATTTTTATAGCCTTCATCAGAAGGCAGTTGTCAGAACAGAGTAAGGAAACACTGCATCGAGGCCACATAACAACAGCAGCAGTGGCAGTCTCGCTCCTCAGGGAAATATACTTTTAAAAACTCCTTAACTCTTTATGGCTGGATTTCTTGTTCTAGTTTTTTTGTGGGGTTTGTTTTTGGTGTTTTGTGGGGTTGTTTTTTTTTTCATTGCCTTCAATTAAATGCCACTGGGTCTCTCTGTCAAGGGGGATTAGAATTGTTGGCTTAGTCGACTGAGGTAGGCCAGCACGTGTTCCAGCGTTAGGAGATGTAGCTTATAATTGGTACACTAGTGGAGACTCTTCCAGTCTCTGTTTACAGCCTCAGGATGTAATCTGCTAGGTTAGAGTGTGCAAAATTGAGTCATGACCAAATTGGTTACAAAGCAGAGAGGCATTCTCCTTAGGGGCTCCTTCATTATAGAACATGCCTTGGTAGTGTGCAGACCTAAGCTTGAAACGTACTTGGTTTTCTCTGTATTTTAGAAGCAGCTGTGACACATGAGCCCTTGTTATGTGTCCCTTTGTGTAAACATCAGGCCCTCGTGCCTCATGTACAGGGTCATCGGCTGGGCAGAGCTGACTGTTGGGTGCTTCTCATCACAGATAGACAGCACCTGAACACAGTTGGATCTCATGTGCAGAAAGGTGGGAAAGGGTCTGCTTTGGGGGCCTTGCTTACCTCAGGTCATTGGTCTCCCCAGGTCTGTGCCAACCTGGTGAATATTCCACTGATGGATTTGCCCCCTGCCAGCTCTGTCCCCTGGGCACTTTCCAGCCTGAAGCTGGTCGCACTTCCTGCTTCCCCTGTGGAGGAGGCCTCTCCACCAAACACCTAGGAGCCACTTCCTTCCAGGACTGTGAGACCAGAGGTGAGAACTTGGAAGCTTGAGTTTCCCTTCTGAGTACAGGAGACACTGATAGAGTTCGAGTCAAGGCCAGCCCAGAGGTGCCCAAGGTCATGCCTGTGTGGCTGGGAGATCAGGCCACCAACCCCATTCAACTTCACATGATGACAGGGAGCACAGGAGCTTCCTAAACACTCCTGCCACCTGGGTCTATTTGTCAGAGCTACCTAGAAAGACCATCAAGGACAGATGAACAGGTTGTTTACCTGGATCCCCCGTTTCTTTTCCTTCAAACCTTCCTTCACTCCCATACCCTTACCTGTAGTGTAGGAGGCCCTTCACTGTACAGGACAAGAGATGTATTTCTCCATCAAGGACAGGCCCTATGCCTCCTCCAGCACCCCAGTCCCAGCTGCCCCTTCTCAGGGGGAAAATGCTAATTACCGTCCAGTCCATTTTGACCCTGTCAACCCATGTATATTGGAGTAGAACTGTTACACAGGGCTTTCAGTGACCAATATTTCAGAAGTGGATATCTTTTTTTTTAAGCACCTCATGTTGGGCTTGAATGTCCTATCTTCCAGTTATCAGTTGAATGTGTTAACCTTTTTACCATCCAGAGATGACAGCGAGCCCTTCTCTAAGCACAGTGTCAATTCTGCATCCTCTCCCTGCTCACATGATGTATAGTGACTTATGGCACAAGCTGTAAACTCTTTAGGGATCCATACAGGCCTTGTTCCTGGTTTATTTTTCTCAGTGCCATGAGTCACAAGTTCAATTCCCCACACTTCCCACCTGAACCTGGCTATGTAGAAGATTGAGTGTTGTTAAGCCCCATTACTTCATTTGGACATAACATGTAATGAGCTGTAAGATGTTTTTGTACTGCGTTTGTTTTGATAAAATGGTATTTGTTTTTATTCATTTTTTCCTTCCATTGTCTCCATATTCCCATCCCACAGTTCAGTGTTCTCCTGGACATTTCTATAACACCACAATACATCGATGTATCCGTTGCCCAGCAGGAACATACCAGCCTGAATTTGGAAAAGATAATTGTGTTTCCTGCCCAGGAAATACTACAACTGATTTTGATGGCTCCACAAATATAACCCAGTGTAAAAGTAGGTCTCTTTTGTAAGACTTTTCATAGACTAGATTCTCAAGTGCCTGTGTCTGTCCTAAGATAAGGGGTCCCCAGTTCACTCAGCACCACGGAGACCGTGTAAGAGACTGCTGGTGCTCGGCTCTACAGATCAGCATTGATGGAGAACAAACCTGACTCCCAGGCCCTCACTTTTATCAAGTCTGGCTTTGTCCCCAGATGCAGTTGTCTTAATTTCTTTCCTCTGGCACCCGTGCTTTCAGCCTTGCTCAGTAAGTATTGTTTGCAGACTTTTTTTATGTCCCAAGAACTCTACTTGGTTCTTTACTGATGTCAAGCAAGACACAGGCTGTGGAAATTGCAAAGAAAAGAGCAATTAGCTGCCTGGAGAGATGAAGCAAGGCTTCTAGAAAGCTTGAGAAGGTTCAGATGGGGAGGCTGTGGGGTGACTAGGAGAAAGGGCTTTGTGCCCAGAAGATGGTTGGAGGAAAGCACAGGCTCAGGAAAGTGAAAGACATTTGGGGTAAAGGAGACCCCTGGGCAGGAGCATAGCATTTCCTACAGGGAGTCTGAGGGAGATAAGGGGGGAGCTTTGAATGCTGTGCTAAAGAGCTTGGTTTGCATTTTATAAGAATGTTATAAATAATTTAAGAACTTTATGTGTTTTTTTACCATTGTGTTATATTCTCTAGAAAAGGACAGAAGTAAGTCTCAGCTAATTCAGTATCTTTAAGCTAGCAACCAGGGAAGGTAAGTTAGATCTCCCTAAGCTAAAGATGGTTGGGTTGAAAGAGGCAGTGAATCACTTGCATCTTATGGCTGGGAAGTTATCTCCTTTTTTCTCTATCCCAGGGAAGGCAGGTTTGTTTTGAGTTTTATTGTCCTCACTGCATCCTTATAAGTAGCTTTCAGGTCTCTTTTTTTAATAACTGCTGTGACAAGAAGCTCACCACCTCTTATGCTACTTACATTTGTTGTAGCTTAGACCTTGAGAATGCTCTCCATAGAAAATTCCTCCTTATAGCAAATCCCAGGAGTTCCTTTTCCCTCTTTTTTCCCAAATGAAAAATCTGTTTTGTTATTCTACTTGTATGACATTTATTCAGTTCTGACTCAGAGCAACCTTGTGGAACAGAGTAGGGTTTCCAAGTCTGCAATCTTTATGCTAGTGGATCACCAGATCTTGTCCCTTGGAGCAGCTGATGAGTTTAAGCGACTGGTTGTTTCCATCATCAGCCAAAGTACCAGCTCAAACACCACTTGCCTCTGAGTCGGTTCTGAGTCACAATGACCCCCTATGTTGCAGATACAACTGTTCCATAAGTTTTCCGAGATTCTGATCTTTCAGAAGCCCATCACTAGGGCTTTTCTGCTAACATATTTCTGGGTGGGTGTAAACTGTCATCCTTTGGGTTATCAACCAAGGGTTTAGCTATTTGTACCACCCTGGGGCTTCATGGAATAAGAAATCCAAAATGAGAGAGAGAAAGAGAGAGAGGAAAGATTCCCTTGAATATCTTCTACAGGTTTATCTAACAGTTTTAAATAAGCTCTTTTGGAGGTCAGGGTTTTGTCTTTCTCATTCCTGAATTGCCAGAGCATTTGGAAACTGTTAGATGGATGGAGAGTGATGAATGAAGATATGATTGAAAGAGAGAGAGAGGAGGATGGTGAATGAATGCTTTGCCTTTGGTACCAGAAGTGAGTACTAGCAACCTTTGTACAGGTAGAAAGTTCTCCACACAAAAAATAAAACGTAATCCTCACTATTTTCACTAGAGACAAGACATTCTGAATATGGCTGTCGTTTTCTTTCTCTTAAGTCTTTAACAAAGGTTCAAATCTTTTAAAGGGAACATTGAGGTTTAGTATCCCTATACTGACAGATCTAAAAGTTCTCTTGGCACTTGTACTTTGCAAACAAAACGCTAAAAGCTAATGGTGTCCTTTTGTTCCACATATACCTCCCCCTGACTTGCATGCCTGCGAACTAATGAGAAACAGTTGAACTGTGTGGGGGTTTAATGTAGTTTGGCCTTCAGAGGGGGCGCCAGCACTACAGGAGGGAGTCATCTCTGGAACAGTGTCATGTGAATGCCTCATTCCTCCATGGCAATGGGGATGTTGTGGTTTCCTCACACGAGCTGGTGAGGGCCATGCTGCAGAGGTACAAATGTTATATCTTGATAATTTGTGGCATTTCTTCTTTTAGACAGAAGATGTGGAGGGGAGCTGGGAGATTTCACCGGGTACATCGAATCCCCAAACTATCCAGGCAATTACCCAGCCAACACCGAGTGTACCTGGACTATCAACCCACCCCCCAAGCGCCGGATCTTGATTGTGGTCCCTGAGATCTTCCTGCCCATAGAAGATGACTGTGGGGACTACCTGGTGATGCGGAAAACCTGTGCGTCTCAGCCCTGTGCTCCCCTCCCCTCTAAAACCCTCTTTTCTGATGGGCTGCTGCTCCTCAGGCTTTAAATGTGAGAAGGAAGCCTAGACTGTCACTCTATATTAGAACAGAGATGGGACATGAGTTTGCAGAGTTTACCAGGACACAAAATTTAGACCAGAACCATATAACCAGCCCTCTGCTGAGCCTAAGAGACAGGAGACCTGCAAGACAGTCTTCCTCTCTGTGGTCAATACTGTGTAACACTAATGTGTTAGACCCTATTTCACAAGGACATAGAAAGTCAATGAAGCTCATGCAGTGCTAGAGTGGAAACTTGCCTTATTCTAGGCAGCAGTTTGTGGCACAGGGACTGGCTGATCAAGGGCCTGGTTTAGCCAGGAAGGGGCCCATTCTCCCATCCTGACCCATGATCCACTAACCTTAAAGGGACACTGCTGTCAATACAGCTCAGAGGCAGTGAGGTAAGTGGGCACTGCAGCTGGACAGCTTAGATCTGATTCCCAGCTTCACCTCTTTTCAGTTCTAGGATCTTGAAAATACATTCTTAATTCATCTGCCTCTCAGTTTCCTCATTTATTAAAATAAGAGAAATAGTAACTATTACATGAGTTTATATCTTCAAAACATTTAGAATGATAATGGCATATGAAGCCACTATAAAGGTTTTCTATTCTTATTAGTGGGGTCCCTAGGTGGTGCAGTTAACATGCTTGACCCTTAACTAAAAGGTTGGTGGTTTGAGGCCACCCAGAGATGCCTAAGAAGAAAGACCTGATGATATGCTTCTGAAAAATCAGTCATTGAAAACCCTGTGGAGTCCAGGTCTTGGATAGAGTGGACTTGATAGCAACTGTTTCATTTGGTTACTTGTTCTTTTTTTTAAAAAACTATTTTATATTGGTTTGCTTACAAAGTTTGTTCTTACTTGTGGTAAAAAATGTAGGTTTAGGTGGGCTCTGGTTGCCTAGTGGCAAGAAGCTGCACTGCAATCCCAGAGTTGCATGGTTTGAATCTACCAAACGCTCTGCCGGAGAAGGAGGAATAATCTCCTCCTGCACAAGTCAAATCTGATTTGATGATACACACAAAAAAAAATAATAAAATTTTTAAAAATAAATGTAGGTTTTATTATTAATTTAAATTTAAATGTAGGTTTAAATCTTTCACTTAACCATATACTGACAATGTGATCCTGGACAAGTAATCCATCTCTTCATAAAAGAGATAAAAACTATTTTCTCTAAACTTCCTTGGGTTATTGGTGGATTGAACAAGATACAGCCTGTAAGTGCTTAGCACACGATCCAGTGCTTACGCAGCATGGTGATTATTATGAAATGAGATCCTTCATCTCTGCGCTTTGAGGGTCTTCTCCCTAATATCTACAATGAAGGCTGGGCTGCTGCTATTTGTCTGACCGCAGGCCTTTCAGCCCAGCCTTCCCTGGGGACTGCAATCACCAGCTGCATCCATTCTGTTTCCAGGACTTGACCATTTTAATAGCTCTGCTGGGGCTGATGGGCTCTCAAGCACAATGTGTTTTATGGCGTGAGTGCCTGAAAGATGAGTGTTCATTGTCTGCCTGCTCAGTGATGGCTCTTGAACCTTTTCTCTCCCAACTTCCCTTGGCAGCTTCCTCCAATTCCGTGACAACTTATGAAACATGCCAGACCTATGAGCGCCCCATCGCCTTCACCTCCAGGTCAAAGAAGCTGTGGATTCAGTTCAAGTCCAACGAAGGGAACAGTGCCAGAGGGTTCCAGGTGCCCTATGTGACGTACGATGGTAAGAGCTGTGAGGCTCAGACTGCCGCTCGCGGGAGGAGGTTCTCTGCTTTGAACAGAGGAAGCCTCAGCCAGCTGGCAGATTGCTGACAACACATATGCTCAGAGAAGCGGGATGAGAGGAAAGGACATCGATGACTCACAGTGACAAATTTTAAACAGGCATTTGGGGACACTGACGACGGGAATGAAATATTTCCCAAGATAAACGAAAGTGAGCATAGCTTAGTGGGTAAAGCATGGACATTAGAGCCAGGTGGGCGTAGAAAGGAGCTCTTCTGTGACTTGTGTATATTACTCAGATCTCTGTCCTCCATTTCCCTCATCTATAAATGAGAATTCAGTGGACAATCTTCATAAATTACTTGCTGTAGGATCTGGCACATCATGGTGACTTATTAAACATTAAGTTCGAGTTTGTTTTTTTTTTTGTTTTTTTTTTCTTTTGGAACGCTTCACGAATTTGCGTGTCATCCTTGCGCAGGGGCCATGCTAATCTTCTCTGTATCGTTCCAATTTTAGTATATGTGCTGCCAAAGCGAGCACTCGAGTTTTATTTTATGGAACCCGAGGGCAGGAGACACTTAAATTCTGGTCCTGGCTTTGCCATTAGCTATCTGTGTGACCTTGGGCAAGTCAAATGACTTCTATTGTTTACTTTTCTTTATCTTAAATAATGAGTGGCCCATCTGAGCCCTGGTACCCTAGTCAGCTCTGAAACTTGGTGAGCAGATGATTACTAATAATACAGTATTATTTGGGCCTTGCCCTTGAGGACCTCACAGTTAATCTGTTCATTCATCCACCCATGTGTACTGGTAATCTGTTGTGCTAGACCCTGGGTGCAGTGCTAGAGGCAACATGGAGTGGCAGAGGCACAAAGACGTTCACTTTTCATAGATACTATAGTAGGGAATGTACGAAGCACTCTGAGGATAGTGATTAACTACATGGATTTGTAGAAAGAGTAGAACAAAGTTTCAGAAGCAAAGTCTCAAAAGGTCTTGAATAATTGTTGAAAACCTAACATTTTCTGGGAAGAAAACTTAGGAAGAGGGCATGGCATAGGCCAAAGGATGGAAGTTCGATGGGAGCTGGTATGAAAAAAGGATTGGTCTGGTTTGGCTAGTGGAAGCGAGATGGCGTTTAGGAGTGAGAGATAAGATAGGAGGAGGTGGAGTCAGGCATAAAGGACCTAGAGCTGAGATGGGTAGATAATCTTAGAGGGAGCCATTGGAAGTGTTTAGACAGTGCCAAAAAAAGATACGTTTTAGGAGGAAAACATTCTGTGGCTTTCCTAAAAATATTTCATTCATAACTTATTTCCAATGTGTAGCATCACCATCCCTGTCTGACAGTTGTCTGAAGGATAAAAAACACCCAAGACTAGACATGTTAGCCTCAAACTCCTGGGGCTGACTAGATGCCTCTACGGGGCTCTGCTGAGGGGCATAGGACGCCTCATCTATCTGTAAGGAGGTGACAGGCTATTACCCTCTTCTGGGCTCAGCAAAAAAGACCCAGGACTCCAGGACAAATGTCAGCAAAGCTCACATGCTTTTAGTCTGGCTTCCTTTAACTCTACCTTTGTGACACTGAAATTCCATAATTTTTTTTGGTTTTATTTTTATCTAATTAAACAAAAAGATAATTAGCTTGAATCAGGATAAACGATATGTAACTTTGGGCCCATAAGAATATGTCTTACACGCATTACAGCAGACAAAAGTTGAAAATTACCGCTTTGGCCAGATAGACATCTTTTTATCCTCATTCAGAGCCTATTTAATCTTTTACTTCTTTTTAAACATATATTTAAAATAAGTTTATATCTAGTTTCTAATCCCAGCAAAATAGAAATCACAATTAGAAAGAGCAGGGGAGGCTGCTACAGAACAGCCTCCAGGCAGCTGAGAAACAGTGAGACTGAAGTTGGGGCTAAATTTATAGAGCAGGTCCTGGGTACTGGGTACCTGCTAAGTGCTTTTAACACAGAACTTTCCTTATAGCCACCCCATGATGTAGATGTGGTTGTTGTCTCATTTTTCTGATGAAGTCAAACAGTTTGAAGAGATTTAAGTACCTGCTCTAAACTCACATTATGACAAAGCTGCAGAGTTGGGATTGGCCCAGATCCTTGGGGCTCCAGAGCCCGAGTCTATTTTTGGTTTGGTTTGTGTGGTTTTTTTTAATTGTTTGTCTCTCATTATTGTGAGAATATTAATTTCTGTCTTCAAACTCATGTAGATTAGACCTTACATATTTAACACAGTGCATTCATTATCCCTGTACAAATAAGTTTAACATTTCTAGACAAATATGACCATTCATTTCTGTTCAATCTAGCTCAACTAGGATATTTTTCCCAAAGTTGATAGCTCTCTCTCGCTCTGTATGTATTTGTATTTATATAAAAAGACCAATCACAAGGTATTATACATCAATATCAGCAATAACTCTTCCAGGTTCTGAAGCCCTTGGAACGAAATAGTAGAGACATCCAGCACACTCTTTTAAAAAAAATGAAAAAAGTACAAACTGAAACCTCAGAAGGAAGCAAAGTTCTGTTATTGTTGGTGGTACCTGGAATCATTTTTTTAAGTTTCTTAATGTCTAGCTTTATGTCATTAACTATGCAAAGGCATTTGACTGTGTGGACCACAACAAACTATGGCTAACTCTGAGAAGAATGGGATCCCAGAACACTTGATTATGCTCATGCAAAACCTATACTTGGACCAGGAGGCAGTAGTAAGAACAGAGCAAGGAAACACTGCGTGGTTCAAAACTGGGAAGAGTGTGTACGAGGGATATGTCCTATCTTCATACATTTTCAATCTATATGCAGAACAGATCATCCAGGAGGCTGGGCTCTATTAGGAGGAGTGTAACAAAAGGATTAGAGGGAGACTCATCAACAACCTGAATTACACAGATGATACAACCTTGCTTGCTGAAACTGAGGAGGACCTGAAGCATTTGCTACAGAAGGTCAAGGACTACAGCCTTCAATATGGATTGAGACTCAACATCAAGAAAACAAAAATTATCACCACTGGGCCAATTGGCAGCATCATGATGAATGGTGAAGAGATTGAGATTGTTAACAGCTTCCGTTTGCTTGGCTCCACAATCAACACACTTGGTACCAGCAGCCAGGAAATCAAAAGATGAATTGCACTGGGAAAGTCTGCTATCAGGGACCTCTCCAGAGTACTGAAGAGCAACTATGTCAGTCTGAAGACTAAGGCATACCTGATATAGGCCATCTTCTTTACAATTACTTGTTATGCATCAGAAAGCTGGACAATGACTAGGGATGATAGAAAGAGAATCAATGCCTTTGAGGTGTGGTGCTGGAGAAGATTGATTATATCATGGACTGCTAGGAAAACAAACAGGTTCATCCTAGAAAGTGTGATACCAGGATGCTCCTTAGAGGCAAGAATTCTAAGACTTCATCAGAAATACTTTCGGCATGTTCCAAGGAGGAACCAGTCCGTGGAGAGGGACATTATGCTTGGAAGAGTGGAGGGAGAGTGAAAGAGAGGAAGACCCTTGATGAGATGGATTTATTCAGTGACTGGAGTAATGAGGGTAGGGGCATCAGAGACAGTAATGAGGGTAGGGGCACAGGATAGAGCAGGTTTCAGGGCTATTGTGTATAGGATCGCTCTGAGTCACAAGAAACTCAGTGACACATAACAACAACAGCCATTTTCTGGAAATAAAATAGTATAGTATAACATTAAAATGCAGCTCTGATATAGCATGATCACTATTACATATCATAAAGCAAGTATTTTACATTCTGAAAAGATATTTTACATTCACAGAGGTATGATACAGTATGGAGAGTTCTAAACAATGATACTTCACTGCTTTTCCATAGAGCAATATATTTGTAGTTCTTAAAAGCAGAGGAAATCTTTTTTTTTAAATGAGCAGGTTACAAGCTTTTGGTGTAGGTACAAATAGCCCTCCATTTCTCTAATACAACAGGACAAAGCACAGTAACTGAAGTTCCATCTTCAAAAGGAGTGAATGACTAGCAGGAGGACTCAAGATTTAAAAACTTGAACTCATTTTATATTTTAAAATTTTATATTCACCAAGATAAAAGTATGAAAAAGATACTATAATAGTAGAATACCAGTTATAATGTACACCTCACTAAATTAGTAATTATGAATATTGTATCATTACTTTCTATTTCCCATCTCTTGGTTGAGAGAAACTTCAAGATTCTGCTTGCTTTTCACACATACAGAGTTTAAAAGATATTATTCTAATTTATTTGGCTTTGCTATACATGATATGCATACAAAGAAGAATTTTTCTCTGTGCCTGGAATTTGGAAAATATTATGCTTTGCATACTGTTTTATTTTAATTATAATGATAGAAAATAATCTAAACTTTAGAAGAGGAGGTATTTTCATTGAGATGGATTACTGTGCGAACTACTTATAATGTGTATGACAGTACCAAAATTTATTAGTAAGGAAATAAATACAGTTTTCTTCTCCCAACCAACCAAAAAGGATCCTGGAATTACTAGCCTGATTTTCCCCCTATTGCTACCTAGTCACTGAAAGAAAGAAGAAAAGTCATGCTTGACAGGCAAGAAGCTGATTGTTTTATGTAATACAAGAACAGAAAGAAAAAGGGGGGAGGTAAGAAAAGCCTTGAATCTGGAGGCGTCACCCAGGGAGAGGCCATAGACTAAGCCTTTGAGTTCTTAAACAATAAGAAATAAGAAAGAGAAAAGGAGCCTTGTAGAAAGCAAGAACTGAGGATGGAAAACCAAAGAATGTGGTATCCTGGAAGAAATGGATCAAAGAGGAAGGGTGACTAATGATGGATTAAGGACTAAAAGTTTGATTAGGATTTAGCAACATGAAGCTCACCACTCACTTTTATAGCAAATTTGGAAGAAGAGTTGCTGTTAGGGCCATTGAGTTGACTACCTTTCATAGTGACCCTATGAAAAACAAATTGAAACCTTGCCCTGTCCTAAGCCTTTTTCATTATCTCTGCAATGTTAAAGTTCATTCATTGTTGCATTCACTGTGTCCATTTATCTCACTGAGGGTCTTCCTTCCTCTTTTTTTGCTGACCTCTTTTCTCCACAATGATGCCTTTTTCTAAGGCCCCTTCTAATAGCATGCTCAAAGTATGTGAGATAAGATTTCACTATCCTTGCCACTAAGCAGTACTATTCTTAGAAATTGTACTTCTTCCAAGACAAATTTGTTTCTTCTTTTGGCAATTCACTGGATATTCAGTACTCTTAGCCAATACCACAATTCCTTGGTCTTCTTTACTCATTGTCTAACTTTCAGATGCATAGAAAGCAATTGACAATATCATAGCTTGATCAGGTAGGTGCACCTTAGTCTTTAAAGTGACATCCTAGCTCTTTAGCATTTTTTAAGAGTTCCTTGATAGGAGATTTCCTGATACAACACCTCTTTTGACTTCCTGACTGCTTTCATGTTTGTTGTGGATCCAGGTAAAAGAAAGTTCTTGACAACTACAATCTTTTCTCCTTCATGATGTTACCGATTGGCCCAGTGGTGAGAATTTTTGTTTTCTTGATGTCAAGATATAACCCATATTGAAGGCTATAGTCTTTCTGCAGTAAGTGCTCCAAATCTTCACTTTATATAAGCAAAATTTGGAAGAGTTGTGGGGACCAAAGCTAATTGGGTTTAGAATGGGAAAAAATAGGAGACAGTAGGTGTTGATAATTCTTTTGAGTTTTTTAAAAGGAAATTGGGGGATGGGCAGTAGAAGCTGAAAGAGGAATGAGGTCAAGATAGGGATTATTTTTAAAGCTCAGAGAGATTACAGCACATTTGCATGCTGGTAGGAATTCTAGACCAGTTGAGAAAGAAAGAAAAAAAAAAATGCCATGCAGGAAAGAAAGGAAAGAATTACTGGACCAATGCCCTCGAATTGGTGACAGTGGTGAGCAGAGTGGAGGGACTGGCCTTGAATGGATGCACAGAGGGTTCTTTCCTAAGGAAACAGGCTGGGAAAGCAGGTGTGGAGGCTGGTAGGTGAGTGGATGTCCTGGTGAGTGTGTGTGTGAGTTCTCACTTGATTGTCCAGAATCAAGAGTGGTGATTTGCTGGATAGCTGCTACAGAAGGGATATTTCTCAGAATCTTAAAAAAAAATTACAAAAGTAATATATTTTTATTCCAACAGAGGACTACCAGGAACTCATCGAAGACATTGTTCGGGATGGCAGGCTCTATGCATCTGAGAATCACCAAGAAATACTCAAGGTATGTGACTCCCCAAGGTTGGCATGGGGGCTCTCTGTGGAGCTGCCCTAGCTCTGCTGGCAGAAGGCTTTCTTCTCTTTCAATACTGTTACCTTTCAGACACCAAGTCTGTCTGGGCTGAGGACAGTTTTATACTTCCAACAAATTTGACTGAAAAAAAAAAGAGAGAAATCCAGTGGGTGTCTTCAGTGTCATCAAATGAAGTTGCAATTTTTCTTTTTTTAAAATTTGGCAATCTGTCAGAAAAAACAACAACAACATTGCTTATAAATCCAAGCCAAAGGCAAATATTATTTTCATATTACTTATAAATAGTTGGAGATCTTTGGCTTCTTATTTATCCTCCAAGACCACAGTTCACCAAATTTTAAATATTTACATGTAATTAGCAATAAACATTTGCCATATCACTAAAACAAAGCAAATAAAAAACTCAGTTCTGTCAAATCAGTTCTGACTCATGGTAATCCCACAGGATACACAGTCGAATTGTGCCCCACAGACTTTCCAACGCTCCAACGTTCCTCTAGGTGGCTCTGAACCACCAGCATGTCAGCTAGTTGTCATTTAACCATTTGCAGCACTTAGGGCCTACCTTACATCACTAATCTTGAAAATATTTTTCTTTTTAAATAAATGTCAATGTTACATCTCATCTGGTTGGGGAAAAGAAAACAGCTTTTTCCACTATATGTTAAACGTTACATTATAAAAATGATACTTATTGTAGACAAAGGATAAAAAGAAACATTGGGAAAGAGATAAAAAGCACAGGAAATTATTTTCACAAAGTGTTTTTCAGATCTACATTTAACAGAAAGAATACATAACAGTACATAGGAATCATCTGGAAATCTAGTTAAAATACATATTCTGACTCAATACGCTTGGGGATGTTGTTGTTGTTATGTGCCATCGAGTCGCTTGCGACTCATAGTGACCCTATGTACAACAGACTTAAACCCTGCACTATCCTGTGCCAATCGCACTGCCTCCGACACACCCCTCATAGAGGGTCTTCCCCTCCTGCGCTGTTCCTCCACCCTCCCAAGCATGATGTCCCTCTCCAAGGACCGGTCTCTCCTTATAACATGTCCAACAATCCATTTTGAAGGTTGTAGTCTTTTATCTTTTGTATTAAGTGCTTCAAGTTCTCACTTTCAGCAAGCAATGTCACCTGCAAAGAGGTTATTGATGAGTCTTCTTCCAATCCTGATGCCATATTCTTATTCATTGAGTTTAGCTTCTTGAATGATTTGCTCAGCATACGGATTGAATAGATATGGAAAGTGGATACAACCCTGACACACACTTTTCTCACTTTTAAACCATGTAATGTTCCTTTATTCTGTTCGTACAATAGCCTCGTGATCTAGGTATAGGTTTCCCATGAGCACAATTAAGTATTCTGGGATTCCGATTCTTCTCAATGTTAGCCATAATTTGTTATGATCCACACAGTCAAATGCCTTTACATTGTCAATAAAGCACAAATAGACATTCTTCTGGTGTTCTTTGCTTTCAGCTAGGCTCCACCTGACTTCAGCAATGATATCCCTGGTGCCATGACCTCTTGTAAGTTCACCTTGAACTTTTGGCAGTTGTTTATGTACTGTTCTAGCCATTTTAAAATTATCTTCAAAAGTATTTTGCTTGCATATGATATTAGTATCATTGTTCAATAATTGCCACATTCTGTTGAATTACTTTTCTTGGGAATGGGGACAAATATGGATCTCTTCCAGCTAATCAACCAGGCAACTGTCTTCCAAATTACCTAGCATGCCCAGGGCAGTATCTTTTAGTTGAAACATGTCAGTTGTTATCTCATCAATTCCTGGGGCCTTTTTTTTCCCCCAATACCTTCAGTACAGCTTAAACTTATTACATTACCATAGATCTTAATGGGTATGTGTTTCCTGAAATATGTCAGAGTTGGCCAATTCTTTTTGATACAGTGATTCTATGTATTCCTTCCATCTTTTTTTTGATGCTACCTGGATCATTCAAGATTTTGCCCATAGCATCTCTAAATATTACTACTCCTGACTTAAAATTGGTTTTTAGCTCTTTCAGTCTGAGAAATGCTGAGCAAGTTCTTCCCTTTTATTCTCTAATTTTGACTCTCTACATATTCCATTATAATACTTTGCTTTGTCTTTTCAAGCTCCCCTTTGAAATCTTCTGTTCAGCTCTTTTACTTCAACATCTCTTCCCTTTGTTTTGGCTTTTCGATACTCTAGTTCAATTTTCCAGGTCTGACATCCTTTTTGCTTTGTTCTTTCTACTTGGGCTTTGTAATGACCTTTTGTTCCCTTCATGGATAATATCCTTTATGTCATCCCACAACTCATCTGGTCTTTGATTATTAGTGTTCAATGCTTCAAATCTAGTATTAAGATTATTTTTAAATTCAGGTAGGATAGACTCAAGATCATATTTTGGTTCTTGTGGAGTTGTTTTTATTTTCTTCAGCCTCAATTTGAACTTGCATGTGAGTTTGTTCTATAGTCAGCCCCTGGTCTGGTTTTGACTGGTGACATTGAGCTTCTCCAACAATTCCTTCCACAGATATAGTCAATTTGATTCCTACATAGTGGATTTGGTGAGGTCCATGTGTAAAGTCATCTTTTGTATTTTTTTAAAAGATATTTTCAATGAATTAATCATTGAACATACAAAATTTTATTATTCTACTTCTGGTCTCATTTCTATTACTAAGTCTGTACTTTTCTACTACCATTTCTTTACTGTTTCCAACTTTTGCATTCTAGTCACTTTTGTTGTTACCATTGAATCTGAACCGACCTACAGCTGACAGGCAAGTTTTCAGAGGCAGTTAATCACACACAAGGAAATGTCCCATCTTTCTCCTGCACAGTAGCTGGTGGATTTGAACCGCATGCCTTTGGAAATTGAAGCACAATTTCTTGCCCCTTACCCACCAGAGTTTCCTATTCCAGTCACTAGTTATCATTAATGAATCTTGACTGCATGTTTGGTGAATTCTGGACTGCAAAATTTGGTAAAAATCTTTAATATTCTCTTTGTCCTCAGCTGTTGGTATGTATATCTGAATAATAGTCATATTAACAAATATTCCTTGTATAGGTAGGTATGGCTAATACCCTACCATTCTTTATATTATACTACAGGATAGACCTTAAAATTGTCTTTTTAACTATGAATGCAACACTATTCTTCTGGTTTTCATTCTCTGCATAACATTAGGTCATTATAATCCCATTGGCACAATATCAGTGTGTTTAACTATTTTGGCCCAATAACAAGAATTCTGTTTTCTTTAGGATAAGAAGCTGATCAAGGCTCTGTTTGATGTACTGGCCCACCCCCAGAACTATTTCAAGTACACAGCCCAAGAGTCCCGAGAAATGTTTCCAAGATCTTTCATCCGATTGCTACGTTCCAAAGTGTCCAGGTTTTTGAGGCCTTACAAATGACTGTACCACGTGCCATTGAGGACAAATGTTGTGCCTGTGGACTGGGTGGGACAGAGCCGCCTGCCTCTGCATGCCAGCACATGTGGATAGTGTTGCCTCCAGTATCAGTGACTCGTTAGAGTTTAATTTTTATAGATAATACAGATATTTTGGTAAATTGAAGTTGGTTTTTCTTTCCCAGATGTGTGCATAAGGACTGAGAATGGCTCTGAGTTGCACTAGCTTCTCGTGGTGGTGGGCAGATCTCGGGGACATAGCAAGGACTGGCTAAGCTGAACTTGAGGTGGTCATGCGAGACTCACCTGTCCTTTGTGGTTCTCCTCCTCCTGTGGTTGAGGGAGCTTTAGTGGAACAAAGACTACTGGAGAGGCTGCCTTCAACCAAAGGGGCTGAAACTTTACCTCTCTCTAGTTCAGCTTTCCCTAGGGCAGCCTTCCACAGTCACATACAATCTCTGACCAAGCAGAGCAGGAGAGGAGGGAGAGAGAGCTCTCCATATAGGACCTCCCTACCCCTACTCCTGGGAAGACTCCATTTTTTTCAAAGCTTTCTCCAGACTTTTTGATCCCAGCAGTTTATGTTCTAAGCAGTGATGATTAAATATTTAAATCAGAAAGAGTTAGAGATAAAAAGATGAAAACAAAGCATATCAGCAGACATAATAATGTAGATCTGTTGTAACAGCCTTCCTAGGTGCCAGCTTCCACTCTGTGGCGAATGTACAATGCTGACTTGATCACTTTCAGCTGTGCCTTCAGAAACTACACATGGGTATGGAGAACTCAAGGCAGATATGATGATCTCTTTGGTGCATGAGGATCATCTACTATTATGAAAACATGATTTCACAAACTTGGAGTGAGTTCTACTGAGGGTCCTACTTCCATCAGGGGTATCCCATCACACAAAGTACTGTAAGGCCCGTCTGTCATGTTTAATTCCTTCTCCACTGCCCAAGGTCAGAGAATCCTAGGAAGTGAACAGCACTGCCAAGGGTGGTCCTGTTAATTTCCTCGGGACACCACTGCCAAAAGTCGCTACATTATTTAGTGCCACAAAATCAACTTATTTCCCACCTGGCACAGCTGGGTCTAATTCTCTCCATAGTATCATTGAATGTTTAAAACTTTAAATTCATAAGCCCCCCGAAATTTCATTATATATATAAAAGTAAAAAATGAATCGTATAAAACAAACTAATCTCCTTAGTGAATGGACTGCTTCCTAGTGTTTTATTACTTCAGAAACAAATAATTCTGTACACAATTCTCTACATTAAAGTATGAAGATTAGTTTAACAGTTTTTAAGAAAATAATGATAATGTGCTTCTTGTTTAAGTAATTTTTCACCTCAGTGGTTTTTTTTAACCTATTAATTATGAACTTTGAAAAATGATGATAGTTATTAGAAAGACTTCAAGTCTTTTGTTCTTAGGATCACTATAAGTTGTGCTCAACTCAATGGCAATCAACAACAACAATAATTATATAGATTCTTTCCTGAAACCCTAATATAACTTTTTTTAAATTTGGATAAGCCCTAAATACCCATTTTAAGATTTCTCTCCAGAAGTGAAAATATCTTCTTTTTTAAAAAAAAATAAGTAAAACAGGCACTTTGAATTTATTTGTTATGTAGAAATTTGGCCTGGATTTCTGAGTTTAACCAACCATAAGATGAAAATTTAAATGTAATATAACCTGAGTTATATGGAAGCAAGGTGACCAGAACGTATACTAATCTGTCCAAGCACTTTAGGAACTTTGAGTTTATGACTGAGCCTCTGGTTTGCTGTTTCACCAGAAGGCTAAGAATGGAAATGCTTCTGGAGATGGAAGGAGGAAGCTACATAAACACTGGAAGCATCCTTCAGGAGAAGGCCCATACACCAGAACCATGTTCCCAGTACAAGCACCAGGAACTGAGACTGTCCAGAAGCTTCTTTTCTATACCTACAACCATCCTAAGAGATGCTACACTTAGTCATGCTGAGAGCCTGGCTGACTGATGTCACAGTTGCTACCTGATAAATGAAGACATTTTTACTGAACATCCACTCTGTTCCAGGTACCTCTTGCATGTGCTAAAGAGTAAGGATATTAGTTTAAAAACCAAGGTGTAACTGACCCAAGCCATGGTATTTTCAATGAATAAGGAAGATCAAAGGAGACTCAATGCCTTTGAATTGGTGGTATCGAGGAAGAGTACTTATTATACCATGGACTGCCAAAAAAACCAAACACATCTGTTTTGGAAGAAATGCAGCCAAAGTGCTTTATTTGGTAAGGATGGTAAGACTTCATTTCACATACTTTGAATTTGTCGTCAAGAGGGACCAGTCCTTGGAAAAGGATATTATGCTTGGCAAAGTAAAGGGTGAGCAAAGGAGAACAAGACCCTAATGAGATTGACACAGTGACTGTAACAACAGCTTTAAGTGGAGCATAAATTATGAGGATGGTGCAGTATCAGGCAGCATTTTGTTGTATAGGGCTGCTATGAGTCAGAACCAATTTTAAGGCACCTACCACAGTGGAGATGAGAGCAGATGAAGGATTCTAGACATACTTTGAGGTAAAAATAAACAGACTTTCCTGATGAAAATTGATTGTTAGGGATGAGAGAAAGACAGGATTTCAAGATAACTTCCAGTTGCTTAAACAGCTGGTAGATAGAAAGGACTGGAGGAAGAGTAGGCCTCGGACTTGGGGAACTTGTAAAACGTGCCCAATTTCCTTGATAGTCTTCATGAAAGTTTGGATCTGTCCCCTTTGCTTAGGTCTGAGCTCTGTAACTACTTTGCCCACTATTGTGTAGCAGAAGTGATAGGCTGCCAGTTCCCAGGCCTAGTTCTTCAGACACTGGCAGTTTTCTATTTACACTCTCTTGGGATACTAACTCTTGGAACTCAGCCTCCATGCCTTCAGGAAATCTTAGTAGACTGAGAGAGTCATGTGGAGAGGAATAGAGGTCTCCAAGGATCCAAGTCTGGCTGTGCTCCATGTGACAGCCAGTAAAATGTGCCAGCTCCTTGAATAAGCCATCTTGGAAATGGATTTTCCAGCCCAAATTAAGTTATACTAGCTGATGCTTCATAGAGCTGTCTCAGGCGAGCCCTACAGAAATTGAAGATCTTTGAGCAAAATCAATGGTTATTATTGTTTTAAGCCATTAAGTTTGAGGATAGTTTCTAATGTAATAAAAAGAAGCAGAGAAAGGGGAAATAATCAAGAGTTCTATTTTGGTCCTTCTGAGTTTGTCTATGAGATAGGCATTGTTTATTAAAATATCCAAGTGGAGATTTCAAGCAGACAATTGGTCATATAATGCTGTAGGAAAGATCAGGCCTAGAATATCTGGAATATAAATTTTAGTGGTCCAGAATAAAAATATGAGAATGGTTGGGGTCACCGGAGGAAAGTTTGTATATAAGGAGTACTAAGACAAAAAAAAATCAAACCTGCTCTGTTGATCACAAGGAACTTGTAGGACAGAGTAAAAACTGCTTCATTGGGTTTCCAAGGTTGTAACTCTTCATGGAAGAAACAGCCACTTCTTTCTTCAGTGGAGCAGCTCTAGGTTCAAATCACTGACCTTTATGTTATCCTCCAAGTGCTTAATCACTGTGTCACCAGGGCTCCTAAAGAGCTCTGTGAAAGTCTTCTTACTGAACAAAGAAGAGGTCACAGAAAAGCTTCTTTCTGTGAGTGGGAAGGAATCTGTGCAAATTCTTCCTTCTGGCTGTGGATATTGTTTTTTGGCCATTTACTGAAGTACTGCATTTGTGAATTTAGCAATATTTCCCTTGAGTTTTCAATGCTAATAAAAGAACTTTTGCCTTTTCACACTAGCAGATGATTATCGTCACTTGGGAAAATTGCTTCCTCTGAATCATTCTCTAAGCTGCTAAGTGTGTTGTTTATACGAGGCACTCATTGCATTTAGGTTTGCAGGTGATTTTAAATTGTCATGTGGTAACTTGAGAAAGGTGACAGCTGCACTGTACAAAGCTAGGGCTTGCTTGCTGTCCAGCAGAGCTCTGCAGGAGATGTGCCATAGTTGCTAACTGCTGTGCCCAGTGGGTCTATGAGCCAGAAAGCCCAGGAACTCATACCAGACCTAAGTGCCATCTCCTCAACCCAGAAGAGATGCCTCTCACTAGGACTATCAGCAGCTCCACTTCCTTCCACCTAGCAGACTTACCCAAATTTCTGCCACTACTGGCTAGGATTTAGGAAGCATATGGCTTTGTTGAGGCTAAAATAAAGCAGCTAATTGCAAAGGAAGCCTTGTAACCCATGGCCCTTGTGCTAAACAACCCATCAGCTACTTCCCAATCTAGGTCCTGGGGGAGGCCCGTAGGGCCTTTCCCGGGGAACTACAGGCTTTGACAAGGCTTCCTTTCTATGAGCATCTTCTGCTCTAGGGATGTGATTCCCTGTAGCTCTTTTTCTCCAAGAAGTCCTGATCAGCTGGAGGGAGACCAGTCTTAGGGGTCTATTGGCCTAGCAAGATGGTCCCAATGATTACCCTCTGAGATACAGCCGCAGGGACATAACTATTCAACAGGCATCATTTTTCAGAGAACACATAGGGTCAAATAGATTTGGAAAATGAAACCACTCTAATTCATAGTCAGATTGCTCTAGCTGAATAAAAAGGATACAAACTAAACCCACCTGCTTCAAATTCATTATAATTCAGCATTGATGGTTTTCATAGTATCTCATGAAAGGACTAAGACTATAGACCTTAACCATTAAAAATTATTTGCATTTGTTCATTTATTCATGTAAGCAGCAATGCTAAGTGCTAGGTATTACAGGACCTGAGGATATGGCAGTGAGCAAAATAAAGTCCCTGTGCTTGTGAAATTTAGATTCCACTGCAGGGAGAGAGAATACAGGAACAAACATGTAATATCAAGTCAAGTAGTGGTAAGTATTGAAAGAGAGCTAAGAAGACAGAGTGAAAAGGGGGCAGTTATGGTGAGGTTACT